GTCACCAGGCAGGGCACGGGGCCACCAGGCAGGGCACGGGGCCACACGGTGTCACCAGGCAGGGCACGGGGCCACCAGGCAGGGCACCTGTGGGGCACAGCCCTGGCACCTGCCTGGCAACGACCTGGGCCATGGATTGAGGCAATCTGGGCTCTGCCTCTGTTGGCTCTGGCCTCTCCTTGCCCAGAGCAGCTGTGGCTGCCCCTGGATCCCTGGCAGTGCCCAAGGCCAGGCTGGACACTGGGGCTGGAACACCTGGGACAGTGGGAGGTGTCCCTGCCATGGCAGGGGTGGCACTGGGTGGGATTTAAGGTTCTTCCAACCCAAACCATCCTGGGATCCTGTGGTGTCTTTTCCTCAGAGCAGGCAAATTTATTTGAACACCTTCAACTGACAGATGTGTCACAAGATAAATTTCATGCTCACTTGTGCAGGTCCCCTCAGACCTCAGCTCCTGCTCATCTAAAAGAGGTAAACCCAAATTTGGCCATTTTACACTCTGTGTCTATTAAATATTGCCCAGTGGTTTAAGTAATTGGATGATGGATTAATTAAACACACTTGCAGTTAACCTGCCCTTACCAAACCTGCTCACAAAACCACACCATGTTTAACCTGTTACTGCAGTTTGAGGAGGGAACCTGCTCCCTTTTCACCTGTGGCCTTCACCATATTATACTGATGTTCCATTTATAAAGAAAATTAATAGGGAATTATAATTCTAGTTATTATTAGGGAATAATAGGGAATAAAAATAAGGAAATAAGAAATTAAATAGTGAATATTTCTAATAGGGAATTCAAACATCAAGGAAATCCGGGAAATCATTAATCTGAAAACCCCCAGTCCAGAACATTCAACCCCTTTTGACGCCTAAGGGAAACTTTTCCTCTGAACACAGAATGAGCCCTTACCTGTGAAGGTTCTGTAATTCCCTCTCAGACCAATCATCAGCTGCCCTTGGAAAAAGTTCCAGAGATTTCTGCCCTTTTGCCTCTCTCAGTTTTGCTGCTGAATCCCTGGCACTGTTGGAGACTCCATGGCTTGTTTTCATCTGGGGTACTCTGGCATTCCTGTCCTTGCTGTGAATTTCCTCCTGGATTTCGGGCTCGGTGCTGGAATCGACCAGCCTGGTCTGGTTGGCTCTGTCCTGTGCCCTCCTGGGTTGAGCAGGCAGGAGGGAAGCACTGGACTCAGAGGATGTTATCCCCTCAGAAGAGGACTCAGAAGACTCATCGCTGGACTCGGTCTCTCTCAGCCTCACCAGCCCGTTCCAGGAGGCCTTTCCTGTCCTTTGGCCACGGGAATTGCTTGCATTGTCCCAGGAACCTCTGGGGCCAGAGCAAGTTTTCCACCTTCGAGACCCTGGTTTTAATCCAGACGTGTTTTTCCTCTTGATCACCAGTGGAATGCGCTCACTGGACTGCTCACTGCCCTCACTGGGTGAGTGCTCCTCCTCATCCTCTGAGGGTTCCTCGGTGAGGAGAATCCTCTCCTTTCCCGGGAGGCGCTGCCTGGCTGACCTGAGGGAGTACCTGTAGCCCTGCTTGTACGTGCTCGGCTCTCCAGAGCCTGCTGCTCTCTTTGCTGCCTCCGGGGCTCTGCTGCTGCCTTGGTTCAGCCCCCTGGTGTTTGAGGAAGCCGCCCTGGCAGGGAGCTGGGATTTCGTTTGTGTGCTCCTGATTCCAGGATCGTTCTCATCCGAAGGGAAGCGCCGTCCCTTCCTGCTGCCGGCAGATCTGGGGTGTCCCCTGGACGTGGCTCCCCTCTTGCTGCCTTTCCCTGGAAGAGGCAGCCAGAGCCCGTCAGGGGCGCGGGGCGGGTCCTGCTGTGCTCGCAGCACAGGGATCTGCACCCCTCCACAGCTTTACCTGCCAAACTACAAACTCAGAGCTGCTCTCAAGGGCTCTCCGAAACTCTACTGACTGAGCAGGCACATCCCCAAAACTCTGCTCTGTTCCAGAGAGCTTTCTGCAGGAAACATTGCAGCTGCTTTAAGAGAGAAACTTCTGCTTTATATTGCACATTCTTCCCAGGCTTCTAGCACCACCCAAACTCTACTAAAACCAAATTTTTACTAAAAATTCTATTAATAGATTTTCTGGCCAACATTTCATTTCTTCCATCCACGTTAAAAAGCAGGTCACTGGATTGGTGAACTCAAAAAATCCAAATCCCTTCATTTCAATTTCCAGAATGAAATCCCTGTGTTCCCGTTATGTAATTAACAAAGTGATTTACAAACACAGTTCTTGTTTGGAGCTGTGAAACTCCACATGAATGCTACTCTGATGACTCTTCAGAGAAAAAGCAGTTGATCATTAAAATATTTTAATCATTTCTTTGCATTAACAGACCGAACCCTACTGCTCCAGCACCCACTCAATTCCACCGATTCCATCAATAATTTGAAAATAGAAAAAAAAATTAGTTTTTACCTTTACTTTGGCTTTTTGGCATTTCCTCTGTTGTCTTCATGTCTTCCTTTTGTTTATTCTTCTTGGAGATGGAACTGGTCTTTTTTGGGGGTTTTTCACTACTAAGCATCTTCAAAATAAAACAATTTACTCTAAAACTAATTTAATCTCCTTTCCTCCAGGCTGAGCCCCCTTCCCAGCTCCCTCAGCTGCTCCTGTGGATCCAGCCCCTTCCCAGCCCTGTTCCCTTCCCTGGAAATACTCCAACCCCTCAGAGTCTCTCTTGCAGTGAAAGGCCCAGGACTGACCCCAGGATTTGAGGTGGGACCTCACCAAATTCCTGTCTGATAAAATTATCTTTCAAAACACCATTTTTTTCCCCAGAAAGAATTCCCCATTATGTCAGATTTAGAGATCACAATTATCTGATAATATGGACATAAGACTATTTTTGGTGTGTTTTCTAATACTTTGATCATGTTTCCAAGATTTCCTTTCTCTTCAGGTGCCTCTAAGAGCTGCACCTGTTCTGTTCCCTACCTGGCCAAGTTTAATAATTCTATTTAAGTCACACTTAAGAGGATCTTACCAGGCTGAGATAATCCACCCCTCCCTTTTCTATGGTGACATTCAGGTTCTGATCCACAAACTCCCTCTGCCCACACCAGAAGTTCAGGGGGGGTTTGATGAGGCGCCCGCTGCGAGTGTAGACCCTGTCGGAGTCATTCCTGGAGCTGTAATTTGGTGTTATGGCTGCAAGGGAAAAAAAGCCCAAAGAAAGAAGAGTTTTATCCCAAACACTGCATGGAAAATTCAGTTTAGCAGGTTTCACAAGCAAGAGGAACAATGTTGTATTTAAACTGGACTACAAGGGAAATGTAAAACATCCCCAGTTGTTCTTTTCAAAGCATTGCAATAGAAATAACGGGACTGAAGTAAGAAGCTTCACAAATGATAAAATTTACTGTGGTGAACTTTTTACTTTTACTTTGTTTAAAAGGTTATAAATACTGTGAAAGTCATTTGAGGAGGGAGAATGATAAAGAAAAGTTGTCACATGCTGCTCACTGAGACAAATAAGAGCGAAATATAAATGGGAGTAATGAGTGAAAAGCTTTTACAGTGCTAGCAAGAAAACCTGATTCCAGCACTAACAAACAGCACCATGGGGTTTGGGAAAGGCCCACTGGACAAGGAAAAGTTAAACCCCAGAGCCGAGTTAAACCCCAGAGCTGTCAGTGCCGTGGTGAGGCAGGCACTGCACTCAGAGGCTGAGCCAAAACAGGGGCCTTTACAGCTTTACAGCCATTTCCTGGAAACACAACCAACACAACCCACTCCAGACAGCCCCAGTGTCTTTTCCAAAGGAAAGGATTGTTAAATACTCACAGATGTTCTCATCATTCCCTGGTGATACCTCATAGGTGGAGTTTCTCAGTGCAGGTCTCTTTGCACTGCTTGCTGAGCTTTCTGTGGTCTCCAACACATCAGTTCCCCCCATGGAGTCACTCTTCTCGTTTTCCTCCCCACAACTATCTTGAACTCCTTCTTTCCTGATGGTTTGGAGTTTGAGACAAGAAATAACAGCCACTGAGGAAGCTGTTCTTTAACAAAAGGGAGGATGTGAAGCCCTGGTGGGCAGGAGCCTGGTGGCCCAGCACAGCAGAGTGGTTTCATGCCCACATCTAAAACATTTCACACTCCTCTGCTGTAATACCCTCAAAAAGCAAAGCCTCAATGAACACTTAGAACACTGCAATGATAGAGAATGCCCGAAGAAGTTACCTCCTCCTTTCCTCAAGAAACTCCTCCACGTACTCCTTCCACCTTCTGTTGAAGCCAAAGGTGAACTTCTTGATGAAGCGGTAGGGGAACCCTGAGGGGAGCACAGGGGACACGAACAGCAGCTCAGCAGGGCTTGCACTCCCTCGGGGCACCGGAGAACCCCCAGAGCCTCTTGAACCCCAACATCAGAGGAACTGGCCCAGACTATTCCATCCAGCACACTCCACTCACTCTCGGGTCTAGGAAACCTCTGCAGCACTAGAGCCACTCTGCTCACAAGCCTTATGCTGCTACTTCTCCTTCTCAGAATATTAATATAGAAACAAATATAACTTCTTAGCAAAGTAATAAAATCTTCAATGGAGCAGATGAAGAACAAAAAGAAGATCAGACAAAACCGACAAAACCCAAATCCTCTGTCTTGTCTTCTCTCCACCTCCATACTAAAAACCCAAAACTCTAAATTTTTCACTCTGTGATAAACTATACTACTGTTGACTTCACACACTCAGATTCCAATTCATCCCAAAGTCTTGGAAGCTTTCTCTATAGACAAAGGTTAAAAGCAGTGTTCTCCTGGGGATCAGGATATCTCAGGACAGACAGAGAAATATTCCCTGTGCCCTGGGTTCCATCCATGGGCCTGAAAGAGCCCACAGTGAGGGAGTGTTGTGTAAATATGGTGTAACACACCTGGGGCACACCTGTGTTAGGGGAAGTAATGCTGAGGGAACGGCTGGAGCTGGAAGTGGGGTGGAGGCTCAGGCTGGAATCAGGAAAGGCTCTTCCCCAGAGGGGCTGGCACTGCCCAGGCTCCCCAGGGAATGGGCACAGCCCCGAGGCTGCCGGAGCTCCAGGAGCCTTTGGGCAGCGCTGCCAGGGATGGACAGGGTGGGATTTTGGGGAGCTGGGCAGGGCTATGATTGGGATGATCCCTGTGGGTCCCTCCAGCTCCATGATTCCAACTAATCTTTGTGTCCTCAGAGCTGCCTGTGAGCACTGACAAGCAGCTCATTCCCAGCCAACGTGCCAGAGCAGCACACAGAGCAAGGAGAACAAGTCCTGTATTTCCATCTGCATGGAAATCCCATTTCCTTACAAATCCCACATGCTCCAAAGCAAGCTGAAAGAGTCTGTTATTTGTAAGGCATTCAGAATCAGCAGCTCACCCTCCTTCCTCATGGCAGCTGTGTCTATCTTGCCCTGCAGCAGGTAGACAGTTCCCGAGGAGGTCTGCACCTGGTTGTGAGTGATGCGCTCGGTGACGGCGCTGCTGTGCCACAGCTGGTTCGTGTCCCTGGCAAAAGACACAACAGCAACCACGGAAATCACCTCCAGAAGGGACTGCAGTCTGGAATGCTGGCACTCCATCAGGGAGGGGTGGTGATCCCTGCTTTCTGAGGGATTCAGGTGCAGGCAGGATGTGCTCTGGGCTCAGTTTTCCTTCTTAGCCGGGAATGACACAGCTCTGCCTCTGTGCCTGACACCGGGGCAGGGACAAAGTGAACGAGTCACCGCTGCAGCTGTCACTCGTGGGACAGCAGCTGGAATGAAGCCAGCTCATTACTGCAGCCCAGCTTGGAGGGGGCTTGGAGCAGCCTGGGACAGCGGGAGGTGTCCCTGCCCTTGGCAGGGGTGGGGCTGGATGGGCTCTAAGGTCCCTCCCAACCCAAACTGTCCAGAGCTATTTGATACTTGATTTATTTCTCGGAAGCTTTCTGATTATCTCAGCACAGGACTCTGAAATGAGTTCACCAGTAGCTCCCTGGATGCTGGCTCTCCTCCTCTTGCCCACAAAAAGGAATTGTCTCTCTTCCTTGACAAAATCTAAGCTCTGCACCATTACCTCATGTTTGATGTCCATGGTTTACTTTACATTTAAATAATAAATTGGTTCTTACTTCCTTTTCCCATCCACACAGATTGCCATGTTTCCAGGCAGCACTTTAATCCTCCAACTGTTCAGGCAGATGTTTTTCTGTTTCAGATAAAAAAAAAAGAAAATAAATCATTTAGAAGTATTTATTACCTAGGCCCCCTCAGTGATCAGATCCAATAACAGAAATATCTCTTTCAGTATCTTCTAAGCTACAAATCTGGAATATTAGAGGATATCTGATCCTCGGCTCAGTCCTGAAGGTAACTTGGTTTAGTTCAGAAACAAACACTCTAGGCCATGGTGAGGAAGAAGAGAACAAGTCCCTTGCAATCCCAGATTTCCCCAGAGAACAAGGAAAGCACAGGCCTTGGGCAGGTGTGCTTGTGCCAGGGAATCCCAGGGATGCAGCACTGCTCTCCTAGGAAGAGATTCTGCTCCAGTTAAATTGATCAGGAGGCTGGATGCTCCATAGGAAAGCCAAGCCCTTCCCCTGCCCAACAGCACATTCCTGGATGGATTCATGCCCAGCTGGGAAAGGTCTCTCCTCTCTGGATCTGAGCAGGCAGCCAGGAGCTGGCAGGGCCCTTGATCACACCATGGCTTGTGCACACTAAACCAAAAGTGCTTCTTTTACATAAAAAAATCCAGACCCTCAACATTTGTCATCTTGGAGCATGGAAAAAAAGGAACCCTTTGCACGGGAAAATTTACTGGTAAAATCTAATCGAATAACAATTTATTCTCCTCTCAGTGTTCCTTGCTTTTGACAAGAAAAAGAATAACTTCCAGCTATCAGCCCAGAGGAATTTCTAATTTTCCCTCAGGGATTATTTTCTCCCACCTCTTTGTGTGCTTTGCCAGCAGGTTGATCAGTAGGAGGTTTATCCAAAGGGGCCTTGGGTTCTTCTGCCAGCTTCTGCTTCCTTGGGATTTGGACTGGAGAGCAGAGCATGATGCTACAGAAGCGCTGGGGGGACTTTTCAGGATTAGCCTCGGGTGCCTTTTCCACTGCTGGAGCAGCTGGTTTTTTGCTGGGCTGCAGCTCTCTCCTGTCTTCATGAAGCTCTCTATGTTCTCCATTTCCCCACCTTCCTCTCGCCCAATCCCCGTTTTTCAAAGGGGTGGAGTTCACTTGCAAAGGAGTAGACACTGCACTTCGAGACATTTCTCCATCAGCATCTACTTCTATAGATTCCACCAGGAAAACATCCACATCATCCTTATCAGAGTCCACATCCTGTGCAGGCTCATTCCCTGGCTGCTCAGCACCAGCAGGCTGCCCTGAAGGATTCTCTGCAGTTGTGGGAGGAGGAACATTCTGCTGGGTTTGGGTTGAAGGTGTTCTAGCTGCCCATTTAAATAAAAAAAAAAGGAATAACAAAAAAATTAGGGATGTTTAAGCATGGGAAGAGGCTGCCTAGGGGGTGGGGGAGACCCATGCCAGGAGGGATTTAAAGCCCTGTGGATGTGGCACTTGGGGACAGGGGAGAGTCCTGGGGGAACAGTTGGACTTGACGGCCTCAGAGGGCTTTCCCAAGCTCAGCAGTGCCATGGCTCTCTGCCTGCAGGGAGTTTGTGTTCTCAGAGCAAGCCCAGTACCTTGTTGCTGCTGCAGCAGCTGCCACTTCACCCGCAGGAAGAACTTCTGGGGGGTTTCCAGCACGGGAGGCTCTGCTGGGGGCTCTTCCCTGGGAACATGAGGCAAAATTGGCTCTGGAAAACAACCAGACAAACAAACCCCAAAACCCTCTTTAGATTTATGGAAGAAAAACATTTCATGGGGGGCGGAGGTGGGAACAATATGATCTTTTATATGCTTTTTATTAAAAAAATCCCCACAGAGTCCCAGAAAGGTTTGAGTAGGAAAGGACCTTAAAACCCATCCCATTCCACCCCCTGCCATGGCAGGGACACCTCCCACTGTCCCAGGCTGCTCCCAGCCCTGTCCAGCCTGGCCTCGGGCACTGCCAGGGATCCAGGGGCAGCCACAGCTGCTCTTTTCCTCTCTTTCCTCTCTGTGCCAGGGCCTGCCCACCCCCATTGTAAAAAAGGGTCACATCCAGCTCGGTGCCAGCTGCAAACCTGCTGAGAGGGCACTGGATCTCACCATGTCATGGATAATGATAAAAACCAGCAGGGAGAGCCCAGGAACATACCCCAGTGGGATTTCAAATCCCAAGCACGGTTCCATGAACATTTCTCTTCCCTGCACAGACTGTAAGGAATAGCTACAGCAATTTTGATTTTTTTTTAGTTACAAGGTGTTTTTGAAGGTGTTGCACACATCCAACCCACTCATGAACACAACATAAAGAACAATTAGAGCCATAGCGAGGCAGAGGGGAAGGAAACCCAAAGGGAGGGAATCCTCTACGATACAGAGCAGGGAAGAGACATCAGCACTGCTGCAGACATATTTCAGCACTAAAAAACTTCACCACCCAACTTTTTTTAACCCCAGCAGCTGAGGTGCAACCAGTGCTGATGTTTTCTACAGCCACCAAGGGGCTCTGGCTGCTCTTCTCAGATCCTGGAAGAGCCATGAGCGGGACCAGAGGGAAAATGTTCACACCTGAGACAGCTCTCCTGGAGAAGCTGTGGAACAATCATTGCTTCCCAAGGTGTTGGTGTCAAGGGGCTTTGTCCTCTCCATGGGCCTTCCAAGGAGAAAGGATTAAGGCAATTGCTAGCAGCTTTGAGAGCTCTTTCCTTTCAACAGGAGACTCCAGTGTGCTCCAAAATAATAAAAACCGTTCGGGAAAAAGAACTGCTAATAATTCCTGTAATTTGGCATTGTGGACTAGTGTAAAGAATGAAGAGGTCTAGGAGAACGTGAAAATCAGGGATGTCACTTACTACAACACAAGACGCCTAGAAGTTCTGTGACCCAAACTCAGGTTTACTTACACCTTTGCGCTCTTTATTCCAGCTATCCACACCGGCATTCACACCATTCCCGTGGAGTCACCGGGGGCTCGTACAACTCACCTGCTCCGGGCTGGGCGCTGCGGTGCTGCGGGGCCGCGGGGCTCAGGATCACGTCGGGGGCGACAGCGCGCTGCCGCTCCGCCCGCGCCTTCATCCGCTGGAAGATCCTGAGCGGCGACTCCTGCGCGGCCGGCTCCGCAGCAAGGCTCCGCTGCGGCGGCCGCTCGGCGGCGGGCCCGGCCCGGCCCGGGAGATCGGGCCCGGCCCGGCTCCGGAGATCGGGGCCGGCCCGGCTCGGGAGATCGGGCCCGGCCCGGCTCTGGAGATCGGGCCCGGCCCGGCCGTGGAGATCGGGGCCGGCCCGGCTCTGGAGATCGGGCCCGGGCCGGCTCTGGAGATCGGGCCCGGGCCGGCTCTGGAGATCGGGGCCGGCCCGGCCGTGGAGATCGGGCCCGGGCCGGCTCGGGAGATCGGGCCCGGGCCGGCTCTGGAGATCGGGCCCGGCCCGGCTCTGGAGATCGGGCCCGGCCCGGCTGTCGCCATCATCCCGGCGCTCCGGCTCCCCGAGCTGCGAGCCCGAGGCGCGGCCACCCGCGGCCGCGCCGCTGCCCTGGCCCTGCAGGAGCTGCTTCAGCGGGGTGAGCGTCCCCGCGGGAATGCTGCTGAGGAACACCGAGCGCACTGGCGGCTGTCCACAGGCGGAGCGGCGGCTGGGGGTGGCGATAATGTCGCAGACCCCGCCGCGGCGGTCCCCGGCGAGCCCCGGCCCCGCCATGGCCGCGGACAGGCCCGGCGGCGCTCCCGGCCCGCCGCGCTCCCCTCACGGGCCCGCGCACAGATTCGAGCGCCGCCGCCGCGCCCGCCGATTGGCGGAGCTGCGGGCCGAGACCACCGAGCGCGGGCGCGGGGGGGTGTTACGAAATAAAAACCTTGCCGGATGGCGTTGAGGCAGGCGGGAGCAGGCCCGGGCTATGCTCGAGCTCCCCTCCCCTCGGCATGGTGGTTCGGTCCGCCTGTGGGCGGGCTCCGCAACCGTTAGCGCTGAGAGGGGCGGGCTGAGGCGGGGACGGAACGGGGCCGGGCCGAGATGGGGCTGAGGCGGGACCGGAACGGGGCTGAGGCGGGGACGGAACGGGGCCGAGGCGGGGACGGAACGGGGCCGAGGCGGGGACGGAACGGGGCCGGGCCGAGATGGGGCTGAAGGGGGAACCGGATCGGGCCGGGGCTGAGGCGGGGCCGGGACGCGGCTCCACGGGAAGGTCCGGAGCTTACGAAGAGCCCCGGGAGCGCCGCGGGGCGCAGCCGCGGCTCGCCGGAGCCTTTGCGGTGTGCGGGAGCCGGCGGAGGCAGAGCCCCAGGCCTGGCAGGCTCTGGTGTGTCCCGGCCGGAAGATCCTGTAGTAGGGGTTCAGAGGTCAAGCGGCAAACAGGGGAAGTTACTTGAATAATGCATAAAAAATAGAGGATAAATTGGAGTCACAGGTGTAGCCAGCTGTAGTCCTGCTAACAAGCAGCTGCAGTGGGATCAGGTGTGTCTGATTCCCAAATTAATCCCAGCAGGTGAGTTAGAAACTCAGGTCTGGGTACAAAATTACTTCAGTGTGTGCCTGTTGATAATAAACAGCTGTCTTTAAAAACAAGGTGTTAATTTGGGGTCCTGTTTGCTGCTTTTCAGCTTGTTAAAATAATGAAAGACTGGGTTCATTGCAGGAGATGCACGTGCTAATTAGCAGGCCAGTTAACAGAGCAGAGAGGGAGCTGTGCGTGCTGCTCCCCAGAGAATTCGGGAGAAGGAGCCCCCAGGGCTGCAGTGCGGGATCAGAGGCAGGTGAGTGTCAGGGGAGGGGGCCATGGAAACACAAGGGAGCTTTGCATTTCCTCTGCTGGCATCTGCCTGGCCTTGGCTCCTAGGCTGCTCCTGTCTCAGGGTCTCGGTGCTGGGCTGACCCCAAGAGTGTAAAAGCCCTCGTTTCCCAGGCCATGCAGCTAAAGAAGTCTGAATGTGCAGGATCAGCTTCTCAAGGGTGTTTATTTTTCCTTATCCAGAACATTCTTTCTCTGCCCTGCTGAGCTCTGTCCAGCAGCTCGGCCATGGCAATCTGCGTCTCACCTCGGGCAGAGTTTACATTATATACTCAAAAGTTATGTGTGCTATATTTACAATATATTTACAATGTGCGCTATATTGGCTATATTTACAATATAGCCAATACCTATCATCTATGTTGGACAGTGTGTCTGTACCTTAAACCAACAGAAAAGTGTCACCAGCACAGCAAGACATGGAGGGCAAGAAGAAGGTCAGGATATGTCCAAATTCCTCCATCTTGTACCCCTGAACCCCATTCTAAAAACCCCAAAATTCTACTTTTCCACCCTGTGTTAACTCCCACACTACTCAAACTCTTGTGGCTGTAATTCCTCACACAGAGTTGGCAGCTTTTTCCACAGGCTAAGATGGAAGCCACGGGTGTTTGTGACTTTGTGCCAGGGTCTGGAGCAGCCAGGGCAGCCAGAGGGATGTGCTGGGCTCTGACAGTCCTGCTGGAGCTTCCCAGGGAAGGAATGGGGCTGGCAGATGTGTAGGTGGAATAGAGAATGAGACCATGGAAAAGTTACGACAGGGATAACAAGCTGTGTTTAGGGTTTGCATCAGTGAAATGTCTGATTGTGGTTTCTGATGAACTGACTTCACACAGTTGGCATGGCTGCATTTGGTTCATGTGTCCTTAAAAAGCACAAAACCCCCCGTTCAAGCCATCATTTACTCCTTACAGATATTTCTTAACTCCTTATCTGCTCAGCTTTTGCCTAAATGATCAAAAGCAAAGAAAATTCGTTTTGCTCCAGTTAGTTGCAGAAGCCACCATTGTGCTTCATTCCAGGAACAAAAAATCCACAGGAAGTCAAGATTTAAGATCCCAAAAAGCTGAATAAACATTTATTTTTATACCTCTATACTCAATATACAAGATTGATTAATTAACTGACAAGACTTGTCAAAGGAACCTTCCAAAAAAAGGGAAAAACTTTAAACATTTCTATGAAAAAAACACAGGAAAGCACACACCCTCAGCCCAATTTCCCAAGGAGAAATTCCTCCTTTCCAGGAACAAACGCGTGTGTGAGATTTGTGGGTGTAATTTGGGTAGCTGTGGAATTCCTACAAATTTTGTTAAAATTCCTAAGATACATTAGCATGGCTGAGCAGGTCCCCTCTTGTTTGTGTTACCAGATGCCAGTGGAGCTTCCCAAATGGAATCCCAGGATGGTTTGGGTGGGAAGGGACCTTCAATCCCACCCAGTGCCACCCCTGGATGGGCAAGGACACCTTCCAGTGTCCCAGGCTGCTCCAACCCCAGTGTCCAACCTGGCCTTGGGCACTGCCAGGGGTCCAGGGGCAGCCACAGCTGCTCTGGCAATTCCAGCCCAGCCCCTCTCCAACCTCCCAGCCAGGAATTCCTAAATCCCAATATTCCATCTAAATTTCCCCTCTGGCAGAAATACATTTTTTTTTCCCATAAATGGCATTTCTTGAATATATTTTAAGCTTGTTTGCTGTTTGTTCCATAAAGGAAGAGATCGGGTCTATTATTCAGAAAAGAAAGACTAATCCAGATGAAACAGGAAAAGCTGTTGAGGGTAAAAGAGATAATTTGATTTTTGTTGAGTGTCAGTGGTTCTGGGGCAGAGAGGTGCACCTGGAAACAATAAATGCAGATTTAGCTCAAGGCCTCTAAGTGACTTCTGAGCCTCATCGGCTGCTTGTGCTGTGGGTTTAGAAGGAGGAAAGTGGGTTTTACTGGGATTTATCCATGTGGATCTCTGCAATTACCAGGAAGCACCTAAAACTGGGAATCCTGCTGCTTCTCTTTGGGAAGGTGGCTGATGGCAATCAAAATCTTCATGGAAAAAAAAAAAAAATTCATGGGGCAAGGATGATGATTCCATTCTAAAAACTTTTCTAAGCCCCCCTTCCAGACTTCTGCCTCTTTAGGTCCCAGTGGAGGTGCAACCCATGCAGCTGAAGTTTCTGCCCTGGGTGGATCAGCAGTTTTGGCAGCAGCTGCAGAAATTCCACCCCAAAAGTCTGTGGTGTGGGTTGTACAGCCCAGACACCTCGGTGAGATCTGCAGTGTGGGGATAAACTGGGGAGAAACCCCAGAACACCCCTGCATGCTGTTTGGCTGAGGGGGGTGTGCTTTTCTGTGTTTTTTCATGGAAATATTTAAGGTTTTTCCCTTTATTTGGGAGGTTCCTTTGACAAGTCTTGTCAATTAATCAAATCCTGTAAATTATATATATCAGGTATAGAGGTATAAGAAAAATATTTATTCAGCTTTCTGGGATCTTAATTAATTGCATGTCTGGAAGCAAAACCCAAATGTTTATTTTGTTTGGAGCAGCTGGAAGAAAATACTTATATTTCATATATTTATACATATATAGGTTTGAGTTATTAGTGAATAGTCTTCATTAAACCTAAGGAAACGTTTTCCTGCTGGATTTCATTGTATCTCTGTGAAGAAGCAGACTGACAGAACACCACACACTGTGCTTAGGGTGTTTTATTCTTATTTCATCTTTTCCTCCTCTGGTTTAGGATTATTTATGTTCCCAGCCAGCAGCTCGGGGGGTGGAAGGAGGGAGTGGGAAAGGAGGTTGTGCTTTAGGGATAGCAGAAAAATAATGAACAACAAAAAAAAAAGAATTACGAGCAGCTGTGCCCGGGCTGGGGTTCCTCTCGTGAGGGAACATTTCTGCATGCCGGGGGAAGCCCAGCGTTCCGGAGGGAAGGAGAAGCGCCCAGGTGCGATGGGAGAGGAGCGCTGTCCCCACGAGGTGGCAGGAGCTGCCTGCCCGCATCCATCCATCCCTGCCCGCATCCCTGCCCGCATCCCTGCCCGCAGCCATCCATCCCTGCCCGCATCCCTGCCCGCATCCCTGCCCGCATCCCTGCCTGCAGCCATCCATCCCTGCCCGCATCCCTGCCCGCATCCCTGCCCGCATCCCTGCCGCTGCCAGCGCCGCGATCCCGCTCCGCCCGGGAGCAGCCGCTGGAGCCAGGCTGCGGGAAGGGAGCGGGCCGGTGCGCGGCACAGCTGAGCCGGCCATTCCCGCAGCTGCCTCGGGAAAGCTGCGGCTGCTCGTCGCTCACACGGAGCTGCTGCTGCCGCCCTCCCGCTCGCGGTCCCCTCGCACCACACGAGCGTTTTGGCTGATTTTGCTGCCACGTG